CCAAAATCCAGTATTGTAGATCAAAGAAGAATCCAAACCAGAGACAGTGGTGGTGAAAAGCAATGAGGATCCAAATGGCGGATCCGATTCTGGATCTACAGGAATCGGGCTGGGAGGAACTGAGGCGTGAAGCTCGCAAGATCGAAGGCGATCTCGATGTCAAACTCTCTTCTTATGCTAAGCTTGGCACTAGGTTCAATCAAGGAGGTTCGCCATTTTTCTTGCTACGATCTTTAGCTGTTTGGCCAATTTCGCTTTCCATGCACTGCATTTTGATTTCTGGCAAATTTTCGATTGATTTGAATTGGATAGTCGTAGATTCGGCAAGTTTCCGGTTTCTCTGATTCAATTTCATGTTCAGGGAGCTCTAGTTGTAGTGTCGCAGCGACTTGGTTTGAGATTCAGGAAGTAGTGGGAGGATTAGTGCTGTTGTAGTTGATTTTTAAGTTAAAAGTAATTTAGGGGGAAAAGTTGTGGTGGATTGTTTTGAGAATTGTTCTTCTCGTCATTTTTCTGTAAGTGTTTGAGCTCACGACAATTCTTCTTTAAGTCTAGAGATTGATTTTCACATTGTGTATTGCCATTCCCAAACAAGATGTGCATTTGGATTAGGCATACTTAGGCTGTTCAGGTTGTTCTTCTTTCTAATTACGTATACTTATGTTCAGGTTTTGTAGATGCTGGATCACCTACTCTTGGATCCAGTCGGTCATGGAAGTCCATGGAAATGGAAATCCAATCTCTGCTTGAGAAGCTATTGGATACGAATGATGCTTTGAGTAGGTGTGCCGCATCTGCAGCACAAACTACTTCGGTAACGCAGAAGCTGGCAAGGCATAGAGACATACTGCACGAGTTTACTCAGGTTTATTTCTTTGGCTTTTATATGATCTAATTCGTGCTTGCTCTTGTTCCCATGAGTTCAGACTGATGCATTGGCTGGCAAGTGTTATAAGCACCAATGAAATATGGCATATTTTGTAATACATTCCACAACATTGTTTCTGCAAATACTTAAATGTTACGTGTAGTTTGTTTTCTTTATTTTCCATTTTAAGATATCGTAACTTAATGTGGGAAATATGAAAATTAGAGGCAGTAAAATCAATTCAAGATCACTTTCAGAGATAATCTGCTGCTTGTTCTGCTTCTGGTACTAATGTTGACCATGGGCCTTGAGTTTCGTGATATTCATATTACTGAAATGTCACCATTAGCCTACTTTTTAAGATTGGATGGTATTTGCGGTAGCTTGGGTTCCACTGATAACTATCAATCTATGTTTTTGTAATTTCTTAACATTTATTCCTTCTCAGTTTCTGAAAGGTGATACCATGTCTTCTCACCTGCAGTTACACAGATGTGTAACCGTAACTTTGAGTTTTGTTTCCAACTGATTTACCATTCTGCTTCGACATTGAATTATATTGTATGGAACTATAAATCCAACAGCTGCTTGCATCATTCCCTCGACTTGTTTCATAGATTTATGAAGGAGTTTTTCACGTATATAAGTTGATTAGTTCTTCCATCCTATTGAGATGTTATTTGTTCTCGTAGGAGTTTAGACGGATCAAAGGAAATATAAATTCAATGAGGGAACATGCAGAGCTTCTGAGTTCTGTCAGGGATGATATCAGTGAATATAAGGTAATAGCAAACTCTAAATAATGTCATCATTAACTTTTAAGCATTGGCATTGCTATTGCTATTTGTTAAGTTACATTTCTGGTTTCTGCCTTTATGTAGGCATCTGGGAGTATGTCTCCAAAAAAGCAGTTACTACGAGAACGAGCTGCCATCCATGGAAGTATAGCTCATGTGAGATTAATGTTATTTATTTGCTGTATATCTTGTTACCTGCTTTTGGAAGAGAATTTCTACTTTTCTCTTTTCCATTTGCTTGATTTTAGGAGAGGGTGTCGAGTTAGATGCTTTACAATGAATTAAGCAGGAAAAAAAAAACAAAACACCCACACCTAACTGAAGCCATCAGTCCAACTATGAATACTTTTGTGATTTTCACCACTGAAAGTGCTCTTGGATGGAAGGAACCTGACCTTTCAAGTTTTAGTTGATTCTTAAGAATCCTGTTATAGGTCACCATAAGGTCATATGTACCAGATCATGTGTAGTTCAAGTATAGCTATGAATGTTCTATTATCTATATATTTTTCTCTCTACTTTAGCATAGTATGTACATTTCCCTCTCTGTCTCTTGCAACACATGCACATGCACACATTCACTTGTGCAATACTTAAATGCAATCATGTGCATGCTTGTGTGCGAACATGGATCTGTTGTCTAGCTTTTCCTGAAGTTGATTGAGTTAATCTCACAATTGCGTAAATTATTTGAAGTATTCATGTATATTCTAGTTGATGCGTCATGCTCCACATGGTTGCCATAATATATGCTTTTGTAAGTTGGCTTTAGTGTCACATAAAAAAAAAGGCACTTTTAACATCCTCCATCCGTGTTCCCATCTGGCGTACTATTTCCCCACCTAACAGATACTTCTTTGATTATCCATCTGCATGACCAACAATGTATTTGCTTCCAACAGATTGATGATGTGATTAATCAAGCTCAAACAACTAGAGCAGTCTTGGGCTCTCAAAGGGCGTTGTTTGGAGATGTTCAGGGAAAAGTAAAGCTTCTAAGTGACAAGTTCCCTATAATCCGTGGCTTACTTGGTACTTGATTGAGATTTGTGAGTTTTAATTCTTTAAATTATACACCTTTGACAAAATGCTTCCGTTTTAATTTCTAGGTTCCATTAGAAGAAGGCGTTCACGAGACACTCTTATTCTGTCTGCGGTAATTGCTGCATGTACGTTGTTTCTCATCATCTATTGGCTCTCAAAATAACAAAAGCAGAGATGTCTGATATATATACATGTTTAAAATGGCTGTGTTTTGCTAATTGAATTTTTGCTTCTGTAATTTAATAAAACAAAATCAATTTCTTTAATTTGTAGTGAAAGCTTGAGGTACCTTTTCATAATGTCATTATCCAAAGTATAGTGCTGTTTCATATGCATTCCCTTCCAAACAGACAACTAGATCTAGGTATCTCTGTTACATTGACTTTTTAAATCGTTGAAGATTCAGATGCCATCAGTCTCAACGGTGGTTCCTTGGCACACATGCATCAAAGGGTCAATTTTCGCTTCCCACAGGTTTGGCTTCTTTTGAGCTGCCTTTTACATTGTTGCACTAGGTATTGGTAAAATTTTATGAATGATTTGCTATTCACACGAGACTAGGTGTGTGGTGCATGTGATTGCTAGATATACTTTATTATTTTGTTTTGGGTTCGGGGGATAACCAGCTGAAAAGTTTACCATATATGGTAGGCAGTATTTGTGGCAGTGCTCAGCGAAAACAAACAAGAGACAGATCTTTTAGCCTTCGGTGGCAAACGTTCTCCAAGGCAACAGCTTCTGCCGTCCGTCTATGCGTAGGTGGTTGCCTGGTTGGGTTATATTAGTACGTACTTGGAGTTAGGCAGCATATACGCTCACTCTAGCTACCTACAAAACCCCAGCCCTAACCCTCTATAAAATGTCGTCTTTTTTGGACTTCCCGAGTCTACCCCACCACCATAAACAGCGATGTAATGCATCCTCAGGCTTTTACAGCACCTGCCATATTCTAGCACTCTGCGCTGTGTCTCTATATTTCCACCTTCCTCCTTTTTTTTTCTTTTTTCTTTTTTTTAATTTAAACAGCAAAAACGTTGAGTATTTTTGGAGAATGAAAAAGGATTCAAACACCAGTCCGATAAAAACTTTTTCGTTGGGAGTTATTATTTGTCTTCATCAAGGGTTTTTTATTTTTTTTTTCATTTTTTTAAATATTAAAGATAGGACTCAAATTTTAAATCTATCAAACTTTAGAGACGTTCTTTATTTTCTCATTTCTTTATTTTTTAATAAAGACAAGACATGTTATATTTTAAAATTAATTAATTTAAAATTATGTAAAATCATATATATTTAATTAAATTCATACATTCGGAAACCGATGCGAGATAAGGAACCTCACAATCGGGACCCCCAGGAGTGGGGAACAGGTAGTCATATTCTATTTCCACCTCCATTTAAATTCTCACCACCTGAAAAATCTCATGTTTCCTTTTAATGTCATAGACGCATGTACGTTGATTTGAATGTTTGTCATCAGTCTGTGATTTCGTTGTTATATAAGATATTAGGAATTATCTAACTATTGCAAATGCTACCAAAGGATCGTGTGATTCATGTCATATCTGACTTTTCCATGGTTTAAAATATTTGTTCTTTGCACTTGATTTTTTGAATCAACTGGCAGCCTATCAATTTAAAGTGTATTTTTCTTTTTCATGGGCGGATTTCGAATTTATCTTTTAATAACTTGTTCAAAAAAAAAAAAATTTCGTTCTTTACTTTAATTTAACTTCAGTTCAAAAAAAAATTTGTCTTTTATTTAATAATTTAAATTATATTTAAATTAAATAATATTTATTTATTTATTTTATATTTAAAAATATTTTTTTATAATAAATATATTATTTTATTATTAATTTACATAAAAAAAAAAAAAACAATTGTTTATAATGGTGAGCCGCATTGGTGGATGAGCATTGTTTTCGTGGAAGGAAAGGCCTACTTGGTAGGATACAATCAATTATATGTCTCCATCTCTGTGTCCCACAATCAATTCGAATGTACGAAGATGTTGTTATGTCGAGGCTTATCATTCCCACTATTGGCCTATTTTCTAAAATATCTCTTATCATGTTTCATTTGTAGGTTTGAACAATGGCAAAACCCATTATTAAGCCTTTAGACTTTCTCTATTTTTTTATATAAGCCCTCAAAGAAAAGAAGTAACATGCAAATCCTTAGACGTTTTAGATTTAAATAAATTAGATCTTATGTTAACTGTGAAATCACATATGATCATGTAAATTGAATAGTTTTTTTTTTTTTTTCCATTTTGTGTTGCAATTACTTTACATTTAAATGATAATATAACATGGAACTCAATCTTTTAGCTTTTAATTTTGAATTATATGCTTCAAGTATTTAAGCGTAAAAAAATTGAAGTTACATGTTTTTAAATATTTAAGAGTAAAAAAATTATCACATCAATATTTAAATGTAAAAAAATTATTACGTAAACAACAAAATCAAACAACTATTTAACTTATGTAACTACACATGATTTTCCTACTAATAAAAGGGTAAATTTTACTTAAATTTAGACATTTAGGGGCTTGTATGCCACTTTTTTCTTTAAGGGCTTGTGTGAAAAGATGAGAAAAATCTAGGAGCTTGAGAGTGAGTGTTGCCTTAAACAATTACATATTCTTATTAAAAATAAAAAATAAAACTTACATGCTCTTTTGGGCTGGAAGCAATGGTGATAGCATCACTTCTTCCATTTTATTAGTAGTACTTTGATTGAAATTAAGGTGACGTTTAATTTTTCTAAGCTTCATTTCCTGGAATTCTTTATATATATTTATATTATCTTTTTGCTACATATTTTGTTTTTTCGTTTTTCTAGCTACAAGGCATCCAGGTAAGGGAGGGAGAGTTGAGATTCAATCCCATGAATGCTCAGGTGGCTTTGTTATTAGAGGGATTACATTTTTTTTTCCCTTTTTGCATATTAACATATCACATTTATAAATTTTTGGTACAAAGGTTTTTTTTTGTTTGTTTATTTTAGTAATTTCAGTTTATTTTTTAATTGTTTAAACATAAATTTTAAATAAAAATTAACATATTATATAATAATAATTGAATCTATTTTATCAAATAAAAATACTCAATAAAAACTGAATATATGAATTTTTTTCAATTATTATTTATATAAATTGTTAAAAATTTATCTAAAATTTATATTTAAAAAATAAAAAAGTCAAATTAAAACTATTAAAAATAAATAGAATGTAAATAGAATGAGTCGTTTTTATCTAACTTGATAAATAAGAATGTCTAAATTTTTAATACTAATAACTATAAACTATTGAATTAAGATTAATTTCAAATTGGTCGGTATACCAAAAACCTCTAAGGCTTGTTTGTTCAGAGAACCAATTTTACTGGAAAAGAGTTCTTACTTGGAAAGTAGGTAAAAAAAAAAAAAACTATACGAAAAGTTAATAAGTTTTGTTGGTAAATTTTGTTAAAATTTTATTATATTATTAAATTTTTTGTATTTGATAAAAATTTAACATAGAGAAACTTGTTTAAAAATTATCAAATATGTTTTACATACAAAAAGTTAGAAGAAAACTTTTTCTTTTAAAAAAATATGAAAATAAAAATTTACATATTGTGAATTGTATTAGAAAAAATGCAAAAATAAAATATTAATTTTATCTTTTTATTATAGTATTAATATGTAAAAATAAATAAATAACTTTGCAACAGAAAATTAAAATACTTTAAAAAAGAGGTGACTTGGAAAAACCAAACACAGCTTGCATTTTCAGCAATTGACTTGGGGAGGGGAAGTGCAAAAGATCCCAATTTCCCAAGGATCTAAGGAAATTAATACTAATAAGCAAACATGGAAAAACATCAACGGTAAGACAACTTGGTATTAAACGTTGTGACCCACGCTTTGGGGCCACCAACCTTAACTCCTTTCTTCTTTCTCGGGTGATTTTCCAAACGCACCGTATAACACGTACGTACAACACAGCATTAATATATAGAAAAAAAACACAGGGAGTCAGCACAGGTGACTGACTACTCATGTCCCTGCCAGCCCAGCGCCCCAATTTTAAGGACATTTCAAAGTTGCTCCTGCCCTCCACAAGGACATATACAGGACCCACGGTCATTTGTAACTAGTAATTCCCAAAACTTTTACCTTCTTATAAGAGATGGCGTGGAAACTGGAAAGCCCTTCTTGCACAAATAGAGAGAGTACATGATCGTAGTGGAGAAATGACAGCCGTGCATCTTTTTTCAGCAAAGTTTAGGCTTACAAAAAAAAATATATACATTTTATAAAATGAATTGTATATTTAAAATTATATTTTGTTTTATAAATTTATTAAAATATTTTTAATAAAATTATTTTTTATATTATATTATTAATAAATTTTAATAAATTTATAAAATAAATTATACTTTTAAAATTGTAAAATATTAAATGTATATTTTTTATGTTTATGGGTTTTTTTTTTAATAAAAGAAAAAATACAAAAAAAAAAAAAGTAAACGCTCACGCGGTTGAGATGCAATAGGGCAGAGAGAGGCCCAAACGAAGTTTGGTCTGAACTCCTCTGCCAAGACTAAATGAAAATATTTTAAATGCTTGTAAAGGACAAATCAAAGTAAATGGCTTTTATTTTTTTTTTTTTCAAAGGGATCTCTGTCTTCTGTTGTCACTGACAACAACGTATCTCTGTAGATGTGTCTGAGTGGTCAAATCGGTAATTTTAACAATGTTTACTTTTTATGGGGTTTTGTTTGTTTGTTTGTTTATCGGTTGTTAATTTGAGAAGGTGGAGAAGAAGTGGGGTTTCTTTTCTTGGCATCCAAACCCAACCCTAGATATGTTGTCAAAGCCTGCTGTCTTTTTTCAAAGTAAGAGCATCCTTAACTAATCACAAACTGGTTATTTTACCCAACCCCCTC